AGCAGTTGCTTAATGTACTGTGGACTACATGCCGGTCACTAAGTAATACATTGGAAACTGTTCCTTCTAACCTTTTAGGTGGAAAGGGTTGAAATGTTCATTTTTGTTTTGATTTCTGTAGCAAAGAATTTCTGGCTTGATTCAGAGAAGAGAATGATTTCACAAATGATTTTTAAAAAGAGTCAAGAAAGCCTGCTTCCAAAAGCATCATAGGTGTAGACCTGGAAGGCACTTCAGTGGGTGCCTCATCCAATTATCTTATTTTACAGATAAAGAAACTGAGATACATTGAGATAAGCTGCCTTGTCCAAGACCAAACTGGGCTGTGGGGTGGCTCTGCAGATAGAGTACTGGACTTGGAATCAGGAAGACTCATTTTCATGAGTTCATATCTGGCCTCAGACATTTACTAGCTATGTGACCCTGGGCAAGTCACTTAAACCTGTTTACCTCAGTTTCTTCATCTGTAAAATGAGCTGGAGAAGGCTAGGGCAAAGCACTCTGGTATCTCTGCCAAGAAAACCCTAAATAGGGTCACAAAGAGCTGGGCAAGACTGAAATGCCTGGATGAAATCAGGGTCAAAAAGCTATGAAATAACAAAGGCTGGATTTGAACTCAGCTCGTCTGACTCCCAATCTGGTGCTGTTCCCATTCCTTCCAACAGCCATTTCTAAATGGCTGCGAGGGATTGCAGACTGACCTAGTCTAATCCCCCCTCATTTTGTTTGAAGAAATGATTCCCAGAGAGGTCAAGGGACACGTTCAAGATCCCATCCTAACGTCAGAGCAGAATTAGGAATAGGACCTGGGAGTCTTTTCAGTTGAATATTCTTCCTACCATCATCTGATGCCAGACTGAAAGGAGGCAAAACCAAGAGAATGAGGAATTCAATTAAACGAACATTTATTAAACGCCAACATGTGCCAGGCACTATGGTAAGCTCTGGGGATACAAAAGAAGGTGAAAGTGCCTGGCCTCAAGGAGCTTATGATTTAATGATTAATAATAGCTACCATTCATGTCGTGCCTTCTTTGTGCCAGGCACTTCGCCGAGTGGTTTACAATTATGATCTCATTGGTCTTCGTAACAACCTGGGAGGTAGATGGCCCTGATGTCGTTCAGTTGTTCGGTCATGTCCAACTCTTCGTGACTTCATTTGGGGTACTCTTGGCAGAGACACTCGAGTGATTTGTCATTTCCTTCTCCAAAGGCAAAGAGTGACTTACCCAGGGCCACACACCTGCTAAGTATCTGAGGCTGGATTTGAACTCAGGTCTTTCTGACTCTAGGCCCAATGCTCTCAACCACCTAGGTGCTTTTAGTACCCCCATTTTGAAGTTGGGGAAAGAAACTAAGGCAAACAGAGGTTAAGTGATTTGCCCAGGTTGGCATAGCTAGGAAGTGTCTGAGGCCAGATTTGAACTTAAGTCTTCCTACATAGTCAGTCAAAGAGGCTTCAATTCACCATGAGGTTAGCAGATTGGAACCAGTTGACAGAATGTCTAGACAACTGCCATTGTCATTGTGGGACTTCCATCAGTCAAGTACTCCTTTTTCTATCACTGGCACCCCCAATCTTCCCATTCTCCAGGCTCAAAACTTCAGCATCCGTGATTCTACCTCCCTTTCCTTCTCCAAGCCATTGTCATTTCTTCCTCTGATATACCTTTTGTATCTGGCTCCCTTCCCTTGGCCCCCGCCCCCTTGCTTTTTACAGCCATAATTTTAATTAACACCTTTTGCCTAAACTATTATTGTCACCTCCTAACTGATCACTTAACCCAGTTTGCCTCAGTTTCCTCCTCTGTAAAATGAGCCAGAGAAGGAAATGGCAAACTGCTCCAGTATCTTGGCCAAGAAAAGTCACGAAGAGTTGGACACGACAGAATAATAATAACAATAACAACAACCACAACAAGCTGGTCTGGCCTCCAGCCTCTCTTCCCTTCAGTGCAGCCTTCATTGGAGGCCATCTAGCTCCAGCCCCTCCTTTTACAAATGAGGAAACTGAGTGCCAGAGAGGTGGAGTGATTTACCCAAGGCAACACCAGTGGTAACACAGGTAGTAAGTACTTTGTCCAGCCTCCCAAATAATCTTCCAAAGAAACAGGCCAGATTGCAATCATTCCCCTACTCAAAAAGCCTGAGGCTCCTCAATAAGGACACAGTTCTTATCTTGCCATTCGGTGACAGAAACAACAACAAGAATAGCTAGTATTTTTATAGCACTTTGAGCTTTGCAAAGTATATTATCTCCGTTAATAGTCACAGTATCTTGGGGAGGTGGGTGCCATCATTATCTCCATTTTACAGGTAGAGAAACTAAGAAAAGCGGCTAAATGACTTGCTCAGGGTCACATAGCTAGTCAGTGTCTGAGGTCGATTTTGAACACAGGTCATCCTGACTCCATCTGCAATGCTCTGTGCACCTTGGCACCCTCTAGCTGCTAATGTCCTTCCTCATTTGGGTCTATCTCATCTTCCTGGGCATATTTGGTGCGGTTTCCCCTTTTGAATTCTATAGTTCTGACTACTCAAACTACTCTGAGATAGGTTAGATGCTTAATTATTTTCTCACTTGTATTATGGTTACTTTTCATATCTTTTTCCTTGAATAGACTACAAACTCCTTGAAGGCAAGCATTATGAAAATTTCCAGTTTAAGTACTAGCACATAATGTGTGTTTAATAAATGCTGGTGATGGATCAGTCTCTCTGTGGGCTATTCTGATAGCAAAGACTAATTTTGCTAGGTTAGCTTTGTACCTGGGGTGGAGAGGTGTGCGGTGAGAGTTTAGGTTGCATTCAATGAGATGTGTTTGAACCCCTAGTACTTTCTGCTTGGGCCATATATAAAATTAATATCATATGTATGTATTTCAACTACAGACCATAAACTGGCTGCACAGGTTGGAAGAAAAATGAGCAAATCCATTCATCACTCTCCTGCTCACTCTATCATTCTAAAGGCTAATTGTTGATTTAATTAAGACCTCCTGCCATTATCAGGACACTCATACGGGCTCCCCACTATTAAATGCAAAACCTGTGAAATCTAGACTGTCTTACATTTTCTCGGACCTAAAATTGAGCATCAATTTTTCTTTAAATGTTGATTTAGAAAATAGAAAAACAGTCAAAATATAGGAATGTTCTATCTTAATGTAGACTTTTGTCCTGCCCGGGTGTGTGTGTGTGTGTGTGTGTGTGTAAACATACATACACAAATACATATAATCTATTTGGAGAATATGTTTTTATAATAGGATTGGTAGGCCTCTATTACAATATAAAAGATGAGAATTGACATTTGTTATCAATTGTGAAATCTTTAAACCAAAAGGAACCATGTCAACTGGTGCTAAACACAATTGCCTAATGACTCTTATGAGGCATGAACTCAAGGCCCTGTCACCATTCTGATTACCTTGCTCTGGTCACTGTCTAGTTAATCAATTTCCTTCCTAAAATGTGGTGACGAGAACCGAAGGCTGCTCTCCAAATGTGGCCTCTCCAGGGCAGAACACTGTCTGCCTCTCATCACCCTCCTCCCTGATACTGATGTTAAGACAGCATTAGCTTTGTTGGCTGTCCTGGCAGTCCATTCAAACCAGTTCCGTCTTTAGAGAACAGCAGCTTAGCCACATCTCCCCCATCTCATACTTGTAAGAGTGATTTTTTTTAACCAAAGTTTTCATTCATTTCTATTGAATTTCATCTTATTAGATCTAGATTAGTAGATCTAATTAGATCTATCAGATCTCCTGATGTTCTTAGCCTGAGGTCAATGTCTTTCGGGGTCCTGATTTTGTCTCCCAATGTGTTAACTTGAGATCTCTGTTAACTTTGCATCACTGTCAAATTTGAGAATCATTCTATCTCTGTGTTTATCAAAGTTGTTGGGTCCCATAGACCTATAAGGTCACATATAGAGCTTGAAGGGACCTTGAAAGTAGTCTGCTCCAACCCCCTCCCTTTACAGATGAGGAAGCTGAAGCTCAGGGGAGTTAAGTGCTTTGCCCCAGAACAGAGAGGTAACAAACCTAAGAGGCAGCATATGAACCCAGCTCTTTTGACTCTTTCAACTGGGCCTAAAACAACCTGTATTCCGTTTATCAATCAACCTTTTTTTTTCTTTTTTTGGCAATTGGGGTTAAGTGACTTGCCCAGGGTCACACAGCTAGTAAATGTCAAGTGTTTGTTCTGAGGCCGCATTTGAACTCAGGTCCTCCTGACTTCAGGGCCAGTGCTCAATCCACTGTGCCACCTAGCTGCCCCTCGGTCAACATCGTTTAAGAACCTACTTGGTGCTAGGCACTGTGCTGAGCAGTGGAATTAAGAGCCTGATCCCCTAGTCTGGGTTTAAATGTCAGTCTCATCAAGGATTGTGGTCCAGAAGGATCTCGATGGAGGTTTTAGTTAATGTCATGGTTCAGTTTTTATCAAGTGCCCTGTGGATTCATTTGGATCTTTTCCAATGTGCATTTAAGAAAAATAATATTTCCCAAATCTGTCATTTTGTTCCCCAAGTGTCTAGACACAAGGACAGACATTGGGCTTAAGAGATTGAGCAGAGAGCTGTCCAGGTGTGGTCTCTGTTACAAACTTAGGTTGCTCATTCTTTTCTCCCTTCTTTCCCCAAACCTTCCCCCTCCCCCACTCCCATCCACAGCCTAAACAAGGGATAGATTCATGTTGCACAGTGCAGGAATCTATCTTGTTTTGCTCACTGTATCTCTATCAATGAGTATTTCTTGGGCATGTATTGTGAACCAGGCACTGGGGATACAGAGGGAAAGAAAGACATGATCCTAACTCTCAGGGAGCTTAAATTCTATGGAGGGAAGACAATCCATACTCATGTGTGTGTATACAGATTAAAGAGAAAGGAAGTAAATGCAAATGAATATAAGCTGGTTTGGGAGGATGGGCACTAGCAGTGGGGGAGGGGGGAGATCAGCAAAGGCTTCCTATAGAAGGTGGTGGGTGAGCTGTACCTTTGAGGAAGAGAGGGTATCAGCGAGGCAGAAGTGAGGAGGGAGTGCTGAGGGATAGCCAGCTCAATGCCATGGAGGTGGGAAATGGAACGGTGGGTGTGAGGAATAACCACAGGGCGATTTGTCTGGGTTTTATGACGTCAGAAGGGGAGGAAGGCGGGATCCGGGCAGGCTAATCTCTTCACCATCTTTCTGTTCCCCTGCTCCCATCTCAATGCTTCTGTCCCTTCCTGGAGCCTAGAGGTTTTCCTGCCTGCTTGTCACCTATCCCATCATTCAAGGGGTGGATACTGAAGTGGTAACAGCTCTTGTCCCTCAGTGACCCCGCCTTCCTCAGAGCATCTTTGGCATCGCTGTCTGGACAAACCACTTACTTCTTAGTCTTATCCTGCCTGAGAATGGTGTCAGATACTTTAATGGATGAAAATCTCATTCCCTATTCTAGATCTCGGACTTTGTCTCTCCCCCCATCCCCTGGAAGCCTTTTCTTGTTTTCTCCCCAGCACAGCTGATTACATTATAGGACCCAAAAACAGCTATTAAAAAGTTCTGTGCGTGTCTTCGGCTTTTTAATGACATTCCTTTTTGAAGAAAGCCTTCATCTACACATTAAGCCCTAGCTTGTAACAAAGATGACTACACACACACACACACACACACACACACTCATCGCAGTTCAGCAAAACTAAAAGACATATCAGTTGTACCTGATACTGTCTATAATATTTCACACCCACTCATTTCTTCAGTGAAAAGAGGGAGATACATTTTTTCATCTCTTCCTGAAGGGTCAAGATTCCCCATTATAATTGGAGTATTGGTTTCATTGTTTTTGGTTCCTTCCATTCCCATTACTACTGTTATTGTGCTATTGTTTTTCTGGTTCTACCTACCTCATTCTGCATCTTTTCACATGTCTTCCCATTCTTTTCAGAATCCTCCATGTTCATCCTGTCTTATGGCACATTGTATTCATAACGCATTTATTTGGGCAATCCCCAATGAGTTCCTGCTTTGTTTGCAGTCCTTTGCAAAGAGGAAAGTGCTGTTATAAATGTGTTAGTGTGCTGGGGGCCTTTCTTTCTAGCCTGGACCTCCTTGGTGTATATGCCTAGCCATATGGATATATAGGAGATGTTGCGTCCTACTCCTAGGAGTAGAATCTCTGGGTCAAAAGGTATGGATGTAGGTATCCCCTAAGGTTCTGTCAAGGGTCTTCTTCTCTTTGCTCTTATGCTATCTCTTTTAGCGATATTATCAGTTCTTATGGATTCAATGATCATCTCTATGAAGATGAATACCAGATCTATGTAGCTAGCTCTAATCTTTCTCCTCAGCTCTGGGCCCATGACACCAACTACCTCTTAGACATCTCGATCTGGATGTCTCACTGGCATCTCAGACTCAACACGTTCAAAACAACTCATTATCTCCCCCCTCCAACTTTCCCCTCTTCTAAATTCCTCCCTTACTATCAAGGGTACTATCATTCTCCCAGGCCCACAATCTTGGGGTCTTCCTCATCTCCTCACTCTCACATGCCCCAAGTAAACGATCTGTTGCCAAGTCTTGGTTTCTACCTTCACAGCATTTCTAGTGAAGCCTCCTTCCCTCCGCCTCCACTTGCACAGCCACCACCCTAGTTGAAGATTTCAGAACTTTAGGCTTAGACTATTGCAATCAGCCTTCTAACTGGCCTCCCTCAAGACTCTCCCCACTCCAATCATCCTGTTTAGCTGCCAAGATGATTTTCCTAAAGCTTTGTTCTGCTCATAGCATGCTCCTGCTCAGTGAGTTGTATTAACTATTACCTGTGAGATTAAACATAAGCCCCTCTTCTTACCGTTTGAATCTCTTTACAACGTTGCCCCTTCCTACCCTTCCAATGTTCCTGGACCTTACACCATCTATAATCCCTCTACACTGCCCTACTGGCCTTTCCTTGAACAATATACTCCACCTCCCATGTCTGGAGTGATCTGCCCCAGCTCTTCTACCTCTTGGTTTCCTGGATTCCTTCAAGACCCACCTTTCACATGAGACCTTGATTTTTCATGCTGAAGCCAAAGAGTCAAGATGGTAAAATAAAAACATCAATGACTCTGGATTCCAGAGGAGCTGGGTCTGAGGCCCTGCTTTGACACTTCTCTGTGACTTTGGGGAAAGCACTTAACCTCTCTGGGCCTCAGTTTCCTCATCAGTAAAATAAAGCAGTTGTACCCTGACCTCCGAAGTCCCTTCCAGCTCTGGGCCTATAATCCTATGACCTGCTGAACCTTTCAAAGAATGTCAGAGCTGAAAGGGAACTTGCAGATCAGTAATTCAACTGTCTCATTTTACGAATGAGATGAGGGTGACCTGGGTCTTTCCTGCTTTCTTTCTCTGTTGCTAGACACAGGAAGGGGATATAGAAGGAGAATAACTCAGAAATGCCCTCTCGGTCAGAAGTCTGAGGGCATAAGGTCTGAGGTTAACTCTTATTGGGGACCACTGACTTCTGGTAACTCAATCAGCTGAAGATGTGCCTCTAGTTCCTTTAGCCACACACAGACAGATAAACAGAGATAGGAGGAGTGAGACCTTCAAGAGAGGGGTGCACCCTTCTCAGGTCAAGAGAGACAAGCTCCATCTGCCTTGGATCAGTTCCCAGAACATTGGCCTGCGAAGAAACATATAGGAACAGTGCTGGGGGAAAAGAGCTCGGCTCCCATATGCTATAGGAAGAGGCTGCCTCCCATGGTGGCCTGGATCCAAGTAGCATTTTATCTTCCAGAGGCTAGGTTTTGCAAATGACTGCAGCCTGCAGAGGCCCAGGAGAGTGCAGATTCATTGTAAGACTGGAAGCTTCCTGAGGCTAAGGACTGGCTCCTGATCATTTTGGTATTCCCCTCAATGCTTACCATCAGGAGTGCCTTGTACATGATTCATCGATCATGCACAGAAAGTTATTTAGTTATTGTGACTGATACTCCTAAGCTCTGGAAAGCTTAAAAAGTTAAAAATTATTGGGGCCCAGAGAGGCATAGATTTAGCCAAAGTCATACAGCTCATTAGGGGCACTAGAAAGCTGGGTCCCTCATCTCCCAGTGAAGTCCAGCGTTTTTTTCCACCCCTTATTCTATGTCATTATATGGTATATGTCTCATTATTTATGTCTGAGAAGCAGTATGGATAAGTGGACAGAAAGCTGGCCTCAGAACTGGGTTCAAATCCTGCCTCTGACCCATTGATACAGGCTGATTGAGTTTCTTTACACCTCTGTGCCCTAGGCAGTGCCCTAGGAGGATAATTGGCAGGGCAGGTGCACATCTGTATTGGGAGGGAGTTTCCTCACTAGAAATTTTCTGTACCTGTAGTTCTAGAACTTTTTGGTCTCTTTATACTCTTTTTTTTTTTAGGCAATTGGGGTTAAGTGACTTGCCCAGGGTCACACAGCTAGTAAGTGTCAAATGTTTGGTCTGAGGCTGGATTTGAACTCAGGCCCTACTGACTTCAGGGCCGGTGCTCTATCTACTGCACCACCTACCTGCCCCTCTTTATGCTTTTAAAAAAACATTTCCCCCTCCCCATTACGTGTACAAACAATTTTAAACTTTTTTTTGAAGTTTTGAGTTCCAAATTCTATCCCTCTTCCCCTCTCCCCTCCATGAGATGGTTAGTAATCCGATATTCTCTTTATACTCTTAAAAATTACTGAAGACTACAAAGGGCCTTTGTTTATAAGGGTTATATATGTCAGTATTTAAACATTAGAAATGTAAACATCTTAGAATTATTATGAAAATAATTTTTATCTCAAGAACTCCCTGCAAGGATTTCAGGGACTGCTGGGGGTCCCTGGTCCACATGTTGAGAGCTGCTGCTCTATGTCAATGAAATCACAAGTTCAAACCAAATTACAACATATTACACTGTCGGTCCTCATCAGAACCCGTTGGGCAGGGTGCAGGAAATGCCATTCAGAGACAGTCACCAGTGGGGACCAGCTAAAACCTGGGTGATTGAACTGGTGATACCATATGATACCATATCAGTGTTAGGCCTGAGCGGTATCACGAGCAGCTCACGCCACATAGCATCCTATGGGGCCTTGGGGCCAGGAAACCAGGGATCCAAAGGGTCCTTCTACCTTCAATGCCATAATCTTAGGGTCCTGTGAAGGGAGAACCCATAGTCCTTCACCTCTGTAAGGAAGAAAGGGCATCCTGGGTTCCAGTCCTGGCTTGGATACTTAGTAACTGTGATTTGGAGCTAGCTACTAAATCTCTCTGAGTCTCCTCCTAAAATAGGATGATGATAATAACCATTCTATCTACCTCAAAGAATTTCTAAGAGATTAAAAAAAGGTTCTTTAGTAAAACCATGAAGTGCTGCTGCTGAGACATGGGCTGTTAGTCTTCTGCATATCCTTTCGCATTCAGTTGAATGCCTGGTGTGAATTAGAGAAGAATGCAGTGAGATATTTGAGAGCCATTGAAAATCAAAGCAATGCTGGCCGGAACAGTGCCTGGGGGCAGCAAATGCATCTGAAATCTAACTGGGCCCTGCTGACAGATCTGGGGAGGGAAGGGACACAGAGGCCTGTGTGAGAACATGCTGATCAAAGTTTTTCTTAACTGTGGCCAAGTCCTAATACTTCTCCCCTTGCTAATCAGCCGATGCCCTAATTCCCCCAGAAGCAAGCTGTTTGGAGCCTGCCACTGGGGGTGATTTACTGGCAGACAACTGCAGAGAAGCTTCTCATTCTTGGGACTGAATTACATGGCCCCAAAGCAAGGGACCAGCCACTAGTCACTGGTCACACATGTCCTTCAGAGAGGGGCCAGAGCACATGTGCCCCTCGTCATGGTGCCAAAGGGCACACGCCCAGCTCTGGGTGAAGTGCTTCAGTCTACCACCTCCTCCAACCCGAGCAAAGAGCTGCCTTCATTCATTGGCTCCAAATTATACTTATCCTATGACAAAAAGAAGGGAAATGATCACTGTTGTTCCCCAAATGACATAATCTCCCCTATCTCTTCTTACCATGAGTTAAGGAGGTCCCAGGCTGTTCCTGTAGATCACAGACTTAGA